GTGTTGTTTTACGAGATGTTCAGTCAGGGGCGGCCACAGGAGGGGAGACAGGGGAGGCTCAGAAACACAGTTCATTCATTACACTTGCAGGTTCTAGAAACACGCCAGGTTGTGTGGGAAGCACCTGGGCTGGGGGTGGGGTCGGGAGGCAGAAGACGGGCTGGGGAGCAGGTAGGCCACGGCCTTCACTGGGCTTTCCCCAAGAACAGCAGGTGGGGCAGGGGACACTCAGGGCTGGACTGAACGATTCTGGGGCTTTGGGCTGTGGGTGTGGTCCCTGGTTGCCTGGCACCTGGTGACCCAGGTGGAGGAGTGTCACCTGCTGGGTGTGGGGCAGGGCAAGGAGGGCTGGCTCAGGATGGCTGATGGGCAGGTCCTAGGTGCCCAGCTGTGCTCCCGGCTGGGCTGGGAGGGGCATCTCTCTCCAGCCAGGGAGGTTTTGAAGATGTCAAACATCATAATATACAGGAAATGAAAATAGTATCTACATAACACACCACCCTTCCACAATCCTACTCTCCAGACACACAGAGAGGCCCCTTCCCTGCCTGATTGGTTTTCCCAGCTCAGCCCTGGGTGCACCTTCTCTGCCCTCAAAGCCCCGCTCAACCCCATGCTCCTCGAGTGCCTCTCACAGCCTTCCCTGTGCATGTTCTGTCCTCCACTGGATACACTGTATCCGCTCACACCCCATGCTTGTCTGGAGCCTCTCACAGCCTTCCCTGCGCATGCTCCANGCCTCTCACAGCCTTCCCTGCGCATGTTCTGTCCTCCACTGGATACACTGTGTCCANGGATACACTGTATCCGCTCACACCCCATGCTTGTCTGGAGCCTCTCACAGCCTTCCCTGCGCATGCTCCATCCTCCACTGGATACACTGTATCCGCTCACACGCCTCTCACAATGCATGCTCAGCCCTCCACTGCACGCGCTGTGTACACACTGTGCTCCCAGGAGCCGGGAGGGGGAATACCCTTGTTGATGGTTTTCTCAGCTGAGTCCCTTCCTGTTACAGATCGTGGCAAGGTGATTGGTGGCTTACCTGACGTGGTGACCATAATGGAAGGCAAGGTAAGGACAGCCAGCCGGACACCGGGACACCTGGGCTCAGCAGTGAACACAGCCCCAGTGAGGGGCCGCACAGGGAGCTGGGGAGTGGGCCCTTGTCACTCAGCCTCTGGGCGACTGGGGCTCCTTATTCACATCCTACTTGTCCCCACTGCCTCTGGTAACCCTTGTGTTTAATATTCTGAATCCACAAACACCACCTGCATGACCCTAGGCACACGTTGGTGCTGTGGGGCTGTTGGTCTTGTGCCTGGGTGTCCACTGGGTCCTGAGGCCCTTGGTCCTGGCTGGTCAGGGGAATAACGAATGAACCAAGGATGGGGGGGCCACACCCATAGCCATGGGACACACCTGCCTGTGTGAAGGTGGGAGCCACCCTCTGCAAATGTGAAATGGAAAAGAAATCTCTCTCCGAGCTCCAAGGCCACTTTGGAATATGTACTGGAAGCTGCTCACTGGAGTTTTAACTGGGCACCTGCCAGTGGAGTTGCTGACATCTAACCCACACCCCTCTGGATGCTGCAGGAGCTCTAGCTCAGTGTCACGGAGCAGAGAGAGTGGAGAGAGCTTTATTAAGCCAAAATACAAGAGTGTGTAGGCCTTTTCTGTAGCAGCTAAGGGAAGCCCAGAGCTGAGGCTGAACAGTCCTGGGGCTCAGGATAGAGGCGTCTTTGAGAAATCAGAAGGGGTTGACTTTACTCAGGCTCAAGCGTGTTTCATTGAGTCCACAATGGCTGCTGCGTCCGACTTGCTATAGGACAGTGTGTTCTCTGGCTTTGCCTGAGGGTCCACAAGTCTGACTATAAAGGAAACTGAGAAACATGCTAAAAACATCGACTGTAAGACGTAGATACATTTGATTACCTTCAAATTCTTTAGTTGGCGTAGGCCCTGGGTTTAAGCTGAGGATGAACAGAAGATATTACCACTGGTTTTTTCTCAGAAGCTGGTGCATGAAACTCCACTTGTTTGCATCCTGCTGTTTGGGGACCCCAGTGTGTGGCGGGTGCCTACATATATAAAGAGCATGTTGACTCAATGATGTGAGGGTCAGTGCCATTCAGAGGGGCCTGACCTCTGTCTTTCTCACGCTCCCCTCTCCGCCCCCCCTTCCCTCCTGCAGACCTTGAACCTGACCTGCACGGTGTTCGGCAACCCCGACCCCGAGGTGGTGTGGTTCAAGAACGACCAGGACCTCGAGCTCAACGAGCACTTCTCCGTGAAGGTGGAGCAGGCCAAGTTCGTCAGCATGAGCATCAAGGGCGTGACCTCCGAGGACTCGGGCAAGTACAGCATCAACGTCAAGAACAAGTACGGGGGCGAGAAGATCGATGTCACGGTCAGCGTGTACAAGCACGGGGAGACGATCCCGGACGTGCAGCCACCCCAGCAGGCCACGCCGAAGCTCATCCCCGCCTCCTCCTCCGGCCCGGCGCAGTGAAGGCCGCGCCCGGGGTCCAGGCGTGCGGTGTGCCGCGCCCAGTGCGTGCCCCGGCCCGAGGGACTCCACACGTGGCCGCAGAGGGCGCCTGCGTTATGCTTTTAATTTTGGTGTTTGCTCAGCGTTAGTTTAGGTCCATCGGGGTGGAAAGCCCCGGGTTCTGAGCAGCGTCCTGCCCACGCCTGGGCTTGGACTCCCTGCTGACAGGATCCTGCAGCTCCAGCATCCTGGCCGGAGACTCTGACACCTGTGTTACCTGGTTACTCTGCTTTCTCTTGCTTCCAACTAATAAAACGTTAAGCGGCAACTTGTGGTTCTGCTAGGTACCAGCCCTACCTGACTGTGTCCACCACCCCGCCCGATTAGTTACGATTATGGTGCAGGGTCGCGGCCGGGAGCCCTACAGCCTGAGAGCCTGGGGGAGGCCCCCCCAAAGCTTGACTCCTCAGGGCTTGGTGACCCGGCAATGGGACCTGGTGGGGAGGCACCCACAGAATGACAGTCCCCAGGAAGGTGGGCACCTGTGCAGACTGAGGGGACACCGAGCGGTTCTCACATCCTGGATCCAAAGTGCCAGGGAGGGGGAAATGAAATGCATAGGTGGCCATGTTCTTTCTTTTTTTAAAAACCATTTTTTAATTTTTCAATTAGTTGACATACAATATTATATTAGTCTCAGGCGTACACCCCAGATTAGACACCACGTAACTTACTAAGTGACCATCCTGATGAATCTCGTGTCTGACACCAGCTATCACAGTGGCATTGCCTGTGCTGTCCCTGAATCCGTGACTGGTCTGTAACAGCCAACCTGGGCCGCTCAGTCCCTCCACCTGTCACCATCCCCCAAACGCCCTCCCACCCGGGAACCTTCAAAATGTTCTCTGTATCAACCAGTCTGCTTCTGTCCCGATTGTTCGTTTATTTTGTTTCTTAGGGTCAATTGTTGATAGGTATGAATTCATTGCCATTTTATTCGAATTTTTTATCTTTTTTCCCTTCTTCCTAAAGAAGACCCTGTACCGTTTCATTGACGCTGGCTTGGCGGTGGTGACAGTGGCCTCTGCCGCTCTCTCTGCCCGGGAGAAAGCTGCCCTCCCGCTCGCACCCCGATACCAGACAATTCAGCTCCTCCCCGTGGGCCCCTGGTTCCTTTCGAGCTGCTGCCCCAGGGCTGAGCTCAGAGGGAGTGAGTCTGCGGAGGTCAGCGCCCGGGCCCTTTAAGGGGAACCGCCCGGGCACCAGCAGCCTCCGTGTCGCTCGGCCTCTATCCCGCTGGTTTTTACATCGGAAGTTGGGGGGACGTCTCCTCCTGGCTCTGGAACCTGGGCTGGCCTAGGGCTGGTCCCCCTCGCCCCTCGGGGGGGTCTCCGCAGCTGAGATGTCCCTCCGGGTTTTTACCCCTGCAGGTGGGTGTGGAGCCAGCCTGGTCCCTGTCTCCACCCTCCTGCCCGTCGGCGTGGCTGCCCCTGTGTGTCCTCGGTCACGGGATTTCGGTTCAGCCAGACCTCAGGCGGTTCTGAGTGATGGCTGTTCCGCAGTTGAGTCGTATTTTGATGGGGTTGTGGGGGAACTTGAGCCCCAGGTTCACGTATGCTGACATCTGGACCGGACGTAAGGCTGTTTCTTTTTAAGTGTGTCAAGGAATTAGTAGGGATTTAAAAGGGAAAGGAAACACGCACGAGGAGTGATCACTGCAGTGGCCACCGAGGAGAATTTAAACTCAGCTGACTCTGGAAGGTCTCTGTGAAATTTTAAATAACGTATAGAATCAGCACATCCTTTCTTTCAGAGTTTTCTTCCTCTTGTGGAAAGAGGCTGAAATTCCTCTGGCACAAGGATCCTATCTCAATATTTTGGTTTTATCTTGAACACATTGCTATATGGCAGAAAGGGCTTTGATGGTTCAGAGCAGTGATTTTCAACCTGTTTCATCTCATGGTGCATAAACTAATTACTAAAATTCTGCGGCACACCAAAAAAGGTATTTTTTGCTGATCCGACAGAAAGATAGGTATGATTTTGATTCAGTCACACGGGACGGATATTGTTGTGTTGGCTGTTGTCATTTTTTTTATTTGACAATCTGAGGGGAAAGAGGTCAGTGGCCCTGACTACACAGGCAGGTGTTGTGTGTTTTAAAAATTCTTGCGGCACATGGTTGAAAATTGCTGGTTTAGAATATTTTCTCTCTGTGTCATTGAGGCCAATTCGAACTCTGTGATATTGTGTTGTATTTTCCTAAGGTAATAAAAGAAACCCTGAAATTTAAAATGTCCCTAAAAGCACAGCCAGCTGGGCAGGTTTTCAGGGCAGGTGAGGACTGTCAGCAGGAATATTTGAAACAACCTGCACCTGCTCTGAAGGTCAGCTGAGTTTGCTGTCTTGGCAGAGAGGAGCAGGTTTCCAGTCACAGCCTGGGCAGGGAAGGCCGGGGTTTTCTCTTTCTGACCTTTATTGAGTTAAACAGAACTCACGTATTTTTCAGTTTAAAGAGCCATTTTGTTTAAGAATTGTGGTTCATGGTAAAGAATGAAATAGCTTTGCATTTCTTCAAGTCATATAATTTTTTTTAGTAGATTTTAGTTTTTCGAGCAGTTTCAGGGTCACAGCAAAATTCAGAGGAAGGTAGAGATTTCCCACATCCCCCTGCCCCCCCATGGCACAGACTCCCCACCTCAACCTCCCCACAAGATGGGACGTTTTTTACCAAGGATGAACCTGCTGACATCATCGCCGCCCGGAGTCCACGGTTCACGGCAGGGTCACTCCTGGTGGCGGCCAGTTCTGTGGGTGCTCAGGCCCGTGCAGCCTCTAGGTGGCGCTCAGAGAACAGGGACTGCGCCTGGCCCGAGGCCACACCAGATCCATCTTCCAGATGCAAACCCCTCAACGATTATTAAAAGCATCGCGCTGACCGGGGTGACAAGGACAGGTCGGGCCAGCGACTGTTTCCAGGAAACGGCAGTTCACTTTGAAGGCAGTAATGTGGCCCCTTAATCTTTGCGTGATACGCATTAGAAGGAATAAAACATACCTTGCGAGGTATTACAAGGCTCTTATTACGTCGGTGAAGTCATAAAACGATGTGATCTATGCCTACGCTGATTCTGGGTAGGTTTAAATATGCCATGTTTCAAAGGGGCATGTCGGGCGCAGGGGCCTCACCCATTTTTCAAGCAGTAAGTCACGGCCTTGACCATTTCCAGCCCAGAGGGAGGCATGAGCGGGAAGGGCCTGGGTCTCAGGGGAGCCCTGGGTGTCCTGGATGTTTAAAAAGCCTTCTTCACAGTGGACGTTTGGCGGAGGGGTCATTGGCAGCCTCCCACCCTTTGTTGCAACAAATGGGGAAAACTTTCCTGGTCTCTGGTTTTTGTTTTAATTGCCCCGTTGTGGTGGTTAAATAATGAATGGGACGAGAGAGGACACATAATGGACTCAGTTTCCACGGGCTTAAAACGGGGTTAAAATCCGCTCAAGTTCGTGCAACCGTCAGTACTGCCTGTAAGTTCCCCCAAATTAATGCCCTGAATGAAGAAACAGGAGGAAATGATTAAAATGTCATTAAAATGATTTATAAATCTTTTATTTTAGGAAAGGGCAGCCCACAGTCTAATCTAAGTAGAGATGATGAATCTCACTCCGATCAACATTCGAGTTAGCGCATATTGGTAGATACAGTCTGACATCTTGGTGTTTATTTAAAAAAAAAAAAAACTATAAAAGGTGAGGAGAGACTTCAGTGAAGAAGTCCGTCTGTAAGGACACCCACTAGGCGCAGGGCTCCCATCCAGCCTGTCACACTAAGCGTGAGACTGTCCACCTGCCCCTCCAGGACATGGGAGAGGGCAACCCTGCCCCGAGATGCAGTCATTGTCAATGGACTGGCTCTTGTTTGCACATTGGATTGGTAAGTTATAAAATTATAGGAAAGCAATGCACTAAATACCTAAGTAAGTAAATATAAGAGGATTGTTCTTGAAACAAAAGTTAGGCTCTTTCACGAACTAAGGATTATAATCAATCAAATCTTGTGCTCCTAAGATTAAAAATAATTTCCAAAGTATCATTACTGCTTTGAGTTTTGAGATACTGCCTTAGACAATATTAGACATGAAAGCTTGGAAAGAAATGTGGAAGTATGACAAAAATTCCATAAACAGTCAAAAAAGGGGATAGATATGGAAAGATATTTGCAACACAGCAGATATACAAATGGTTAACAGATGTCACATACAAGGAGTCCTTACAAATTCAAACAAAAACTCAAAGTAGGAATATAGGCAAATTAGCTACAGAAGAGCAAATGACCATCCAACACATGAACTAATGTTCAAAATCTCAAGTAGACAGCAAAATTCCAGTTAAAGTAACTATCATTTAATATCTATCAAACTGGTAACGATTTTAAGCAGCAATTAGACTCACTACTAACAGGAAGATGGGGAAAGGGGAATATATGTACATTGTTGCCAGAAATATAAATTGTTAGACTACTTTTTAGAATGAGTTTCCACATTCTATCCAAATTACACACGCTTATGCCCTGTAACCTAGCAACCTACTTCTGAGATTGTATCCCTCAGAAACAGGGTCCTATGAAAGGTTACAGGAGCAAGGGTGTTCAGAATAACCTTGTGACCCAAAGAGCCCTTTAGAAACGACTGACCAGGAAGGGCAAACACAGCCTCAAAATGTGCCTTCAAGCCTGGCTGGCATAGCTCAGTGGTCGAGCGTCGACCAGGAACCAGGAGGTCCGGGTTCGATTCCCAGTCAGGGCACATACCTGGGTTTCGGGCTTGATCCCCAGTAGGGGGCGTGCAGGAGGCTGCAGATTGATGATTCTCTCTCATCACTGATGTTTCTGTCTCCCTTCCTCTCTCTGAAATTAAAAAAAAATTTTAAAGCTTGCCTTTAAACTCTGCCAGTCAATTTAGTGGGAGAGCCACAGAATACTGTTGAATGACTAAAGCGAAGGAAATTATGGACAGAAGGATCCC